AATCCTACGAGATTCCTAATCGCTTCCTCCCGCTTCCTTTGCCTTGCTTCCCTCCCTGTCCCCTCACCCTCCTCCTTGCCGGTGCTCCCTTCCCGTCCATCGCGAAGCTTCAGCCCTAATCGGTCGTCCTTGCCGGTGCTCCCTTTTCGTCCATCGCGAAGCTTCAGCCCTAATCGGTCCTCCTCGTCGGTGCTCTCTTCCCGTCCCTCGCGAAGCTTCAGCCCTAATCGGTCATCCTCGTCGGTGCTCCCTTCCCGTCCCCTTGTGAAGCTGCCACCCTAACCCGCCGGTAAATCCTTTTTCCCCTTGAAACTGTTTATATAACAGTGGATCGAATATGATGCAACTTTCTGTTCAAATCCCTTTTGTGTATGTTTTGGCTTCTRTTCAAATCGACATAGGATGCAACACATATTAGGTTAATCCTTCAATTTTGACAGATTAGGTTGAATATACATGAACACGGATTAGGTTATATGCTTCAATTTTGACAGATTAGGTTGAAATCTCATGAACACAGATTAGGTTAAAAAAATTATACGAAGTATTAGAAACCAAATCCTACAAACCAAACAGAGGAATGGATTTCAAATCCAATCCAATCCAAATCCCATGGAATCCAAATCCCTCAAGGGAATCCAAATCCCTCAAAAACATTCCCGCAAACCAAACGCACCCTAAGGTCTCATTTGGTTTGAAGGAATTGAATGAAATTGGGGGGATTTGCATTTCAAATTCATTCCAATACCATGTTTGGTTTGTTGGATTGTCTGGATTCGAAATCCTAAGATTTAATTGAAATCTTTCAAACATAGGATTTTGAAATCCTTAGGGAGTGTTCGGGATTTCGTAAGATTGTTTTCAATAAGGTTTTAAAAAATGTTAAAAACCTTTGTTTTGTAATAATCAATTAATAAAAATGTAATTCAATTCTTTTCATAAATTAATTATAAATAATAAAATTCAATTCCATTACAAATCCTACAAAACAAACACACTAATGATTTTAAATCCATTCAAATCCAAATTCCCCATAAAATCTAAATTCCCAAAAAACAAAACTTAAAGGACCCTAAATAGAAATTGAAATGCTTAATTAATTAAGAAGGTATGGGGAGTGGGTAGGTGATAGTGAAGTTGCATGTCGATATTGATTGTATAAAATGGCATCCATCTCTTTCAAAAACAACAACGATGTTTTTGTTTTGTTTTTATTTTAATAAACTAAATATAATTATAGTTTCATTTATGGTGATTAATTAAATTTTCATTGAAAAAGACTTTCCAAATTATCCATAAAATTGAATATAACACATCAAAAAGATAAGAGGACACAATGTTTTTGACTCATAATATGTAAACGGACCACAAAAATCGATTCTTTTAATACAGTCAAACTATTTTGTTTATCTTATATTATTTATTATCATCATGTATATCTATAATATATATACAAGCTACTATGTATTTATAGAGAAAGTTAAATTCAAACGAGAATAAATGATTAAATAAGAGAACATGAAAATTGTCAAATCACATATACATTAAATTCATATTTGATTATGTGTGACCTAGGTTGAGTCACTCGTACACCATACATTGACCATATTTCGTAATCACATATCATTTCTTTGCAAAATTACATGAGATTTGACTATTTTAGTGTTCTCTTGCCTTGACCATGTTATCGTTTAATCCTTCCTATGTATGTACAAACACACACGCACACACACACACACACACACACACTCATATGGTTAGAGGGCAAGTTTTGTTAGGAATCTAAAATTGATTAGTAACCCAAGAACTTACGACACAACGTGTGACATATTGATCAAAAGTATGGACGTTTTATTCATCATTGGTGTGCTATTCATGATTATTATTTATCCTAAAAAAGAATGTTTGGCACACTTTAGACGGTTTTCGGGTTCTTAATACAATACAGGCATAGAAACAAATATACAAATATAAATTAGTCATAGACGATATGAGCTTAATCGTAAGAACGTAGGCTTGCTGGTCGGAAACCTTGCAATTAGAAATCAAAATTCTTATTTATATCACCAATTATCATGGTTCCATCACCACATAATTGTAATCATATATAATTAACTGGGGCCAAATTTAATTATATTTTTCAACAAAATTTACATCTTCAGAGCCAGAAAATGCTATTCTAAATCTATATGCATTAATTAGCTTGGTCCCCAACAAGTCAGGTAGATGACTTGCCGGAGAGAATCGTCGGAGCGTGTTTTCCTGTCCCGTAGGTCGACTGTGGATCCTAGGAAGCCGGAAAGTGGTCGGAGATCGGAGGGGGGATGATCGGAGGAAGAAGAAGAAGCGAAGGCCTTCTTGCCCTGACGAAAAGACTTGATGAGTGATTTTAATTTGCAGGCCTGATCGCTGTGTCCGTTGATAACAGCGACGCCGGCGGCCATCCATACACGGCTTAGAGAAGTCATTTTGTGATTTGGCTTAAATTGGAAGGGGAGGGGGAGGGGGGGTATTTATAGAGGGAAATGAGGAGGTCAACTAGTTGTACCGTACAATATCTTGATGCATTCACATAGTGGTTTTGGGCCTTTTGGCTTTAAGATGTTGGATACCAACTGGAAATAATATAAACATAAAAAAATAGTTATCAGTATTTTGTTGAATATTTCAATAATTTTATTGAATTTGCATTCCACTCAAACCTATCATATTCACATTGGTGTATGTCATGATCAATGTAAATATGTATTTTGGGTATAATTAAATGAAAATTATAAAAATATTGATATTATTAGAATCAGTGTTATTTCAGTTATATATGTGTTGAAACAAACGATTTATTTTATGAGTTTTGTATCGTTTTTTTCCCTTTCTACAAGACAACATATTATTAAATAAAAAATTGTAATAATATAAAGATATTAACTCTAAAAACTAATACTACAAGGTGTAGTAAGTAAGTGGGAACTAGGAAGGTCTGATTAGAATAAGAAAAATTGTAAACAATCATGACTGCTCACGATATATGCCCAAGTTAGTGGACAAAACATTGTCTAGGCTCGACGAATAATGACATGATACTGCAATGCAACTTATCTCTTGAGCCAAAGGTAGGTTGGCTTCTTGATCTACAACTCCCATAAAATGCTTTCTTGGTACGTTTGGTACACTGAACATGACAAAACTGAATAGAATAAAGATCACTGTTTCACATTTGGTAGAATTTTTATGTGAAACGGAGTGAAACAAAGTGGAAACATGCGTGTTCCACTCCATCCCATGGAACAAGGTGAAACATATTTATATTTATCAATATAACCTCAAAATAAAATCTAATTCTCTTCCAAATCATCAAATAGGTCTCTCTCTTTATATTTTCTTCGTTCTTTAAATTTTATTTTATTATATTTTATGTTCTTTAAAATTTTATTTTATTGTTCTCAAAATATTACTATTATATGCGGTATCTATATTTTGATTAATTTATGTAATATTAATAATAGAAAAATATTATATAAAATGGTATAAAATAAAAAGTGGAAAGTACATAAACCTTTTATTTTGCTATCAAATAATCTTTTCTCCGACAGAAAAAAAATATATATATTTAAAATGAAAAAATATTTTTCATGATCTTTTAAAAAGTTAAAGGGGTTGACGATAAAGTAAATGATTGAAACATTCATCTTGAGCATTGTAGAATGATGATATGCATCAACAATGGTAATGCAACGGAACAAAACAATACCATTGCTTTTACTTTGTAATGTAATGGCCCAAATGCAAAGGTGAAGCAAATAAAATAAAATAGATGAAAAAATCAATACCAACCCATATGAATGTATTGCCAACAACATAATTATGCATATCTAAACAAATGGTTTATGATTTTTTTTCTTTGATTCCATGGCGTTCAACATAGAAAAAAAACTAGAAGCAATTCATACCATAAAAAAAAAACCCACATCAGTGATATAATAATTTAATTGAACAAAATTGATCTTCAATATAACGAAGGGATCAGAGATTATTTCAAAAATTTTTTTGAAATCATACCTCATCGAGTGTGACTGTATGAAGCTGACAATGCAGTGGCATGAAGAGGGACGAGAGTGACGAGGGAGAAGGGATGTGGGAGGAGGAGCGATGGTCTTTAGTGGGAGGAGGAGCGACGATGGTTTTTGGGGTGAAAAACCTAATTGCAAGGGAAGAGCAACGAGGGAAACATAGAAACTGATCCGGGTAAGCATCAATTTGGTGCTGGTTTGGTAAGATTTCGATTAACGTATTGGTCAGTTTTCAGTCAGGTCCGTGATTGATAAACACGTTGGCTGTTGACCGGGTCAGTCTGGTTAACGGTTAATAAACAGTCCTTGAGAAAATCAAACTAAAATCAAATTTTTAGAACAAAGGTTCCATTTCATAACAAAAAACACCATACTTTTTCATTTACTAATTCATTTTCTTCTTCAACTTCAACTTCAAATCAAAAAAATAAGAGGACAAAGATAGTAAATTATGTTTTTGGTTTTTGTAGTTTGTTAGATATTGTTATCTTTATCTTTCTACTTGTAAAATTACATTTTCCATCCCTAAATTTACAATTTGTTATTATTTTTGTCATTATGATTTAGATTTTATTGTTGTTTTTGTTTTTATGATTTAAAGTTCATTGCTATTATTTTTGTCTCTGATGCTTAAAAGCCAAAATTACCTCTTTTGGTCACTTAAGTTTAATTTTGGCTACTTTTATTTCAATTCATTCAACTTTTTCAAAAAAAATGTTGTACAAATCAAACCAATTTTATGAAAAAGGACACGTTTTAACATGCTCTGTTTTTCATTCTGACCCAAATTAGGAAATGATATTCCTATTACAGCATTGATGAACATATATAGGATTAGTTGCTTATGTCTTTTGTTTAAAAAGGTTTGATATTCGATCATGTATATATTCGGACTCCATCGATGCACCTTTAACTATAATTCACAACAATTATGAAATTCAATTTCTTTATTTTCTTTTTTACATACGTAAGGGTTGTACATCTCATCATATATACTTTCTACCCTAAACCAAACTCAGCTACAAAAAGAGTCCATTAATTGGGACCCCAACAGCTCAAGTACATGACTTTTCTCAATGACTCCTCCGATTGACTTGTTTTCTGTCCCATGCCTCTGCTTGAAGCCATGGCCGACGGCGAACACAGGTCCTTGGTGTGGAAGATTGATGGGAGATTAGACTTGGAGTGGTGGTGGAGGGTCCTGATGGCGTAGTTCCATCGTGCAAAGCCTTGATCTTTGAGGGCTTCCACCAATCCGACAGTTCCGGCCACCATCCATGCTCTGCTCGTTGAACTCATTGTCTCTTTGGTTTTGTGATTCTTTCAGATGTTCGTTCTCTTTTCGTCCTATAAGTGTTTGATGAAGATGATTGAGAAGCGGAAGAGTAGAAAGGGGGTTAAATAGATTGAAGGAAACCATGAACCACCAAAGGGATTGAAACAGCCCCAGGTTTTTGGGGGGGAAAACAGTAGGTGGGAGTTGGGACAAGGATATGCCAATGGTTTTGGGAGTTGGCCCCTAGAAATGGGTAGCATTTGCTTTCCCTTTAAATTCTTATTTATTATTTATTATGAAATAATAAAAGTGAAGGGTGTTATTAGTTTATATCTTAATAAATTTCACCATCCAACTTTCTTATTCAGTCTTATTATATATATACTCACCTCACCTGAGATAATGGATACATGTCTTATTTTCTAAGATTCATGAGATTACCTTTTGCCACTAGTTTACAATAAAAGATTGTTAAAGGTTATCTTTATAATATTTTTGTTTTTTTGGACTTTTTTGAATCTGACCCTATATGTACACACCCCCCTTCATCTATATTTAATTATCTATTTTATCATGGTTGTAAATAAGTCGTTATGGTATGTTATGATGTCGAGGTTTGGGTTCGTCGCCATGTTAACTCCTATGACTCCACTATAAGGCTTGTCTTGCATTGTAACGTTTTATGACACATTACGACACATTATGGCATTTTTGGTACACGTTATTTTGTAAGGTGCAAAGTTACTTTAATATATATTTTAAAAGATAAATAATAATTTAATGGACAAGACCTTTAAAAAACTTCAAAACTAGAATCTTAAATAGATAAATACTTACTCACATTCACCTACATGAAAGTCAAACACAATTTTTTTTTAAAATTGAAAAAAGTAATGAGTAGAGATTAAAGGGATTTAATCTCGATTTTGCACTTTTGATATCATTTTCTATAAGCTTTATGTATTTGGTATCAATGGTTCTCATTTGTTTTTTTAGTTTTATTATTTTATATGAATTTCATTTCTTCTAAAGTATTAATCAGAACACTAACACATACAAGTGAGTGTGTATGTATGCATGTAAGTATGTATGTATGTATGTATGTCGTCTTAAAGCACGTCTTGAAAAACGTCGTACCCTTAATGTAACTCGTAAGACTTGAGCTTTGACCTCGGCGTCACGTCATGCCTCACATCATTTATAATCTTGTTTTTTTTATTAACCTGGATATCTAACTCGCGATGCGAGCCGACTAATCCCAGGACGACCACGTGCTTTACAGATAGCTCGGAGTCACTGCATTTGAACCTCTGTGGCCACAAGAGAATTTTTATTTCTCCTTGGATTTGAACCTGAAACCTCCTGGTACTTTTGATCTTTGAAACCAAGCTCAAACCAATCAGACACTACTCTTATGGTTTAATCTTGTTTTTTTTACCTTCATGATGAAAACTTTAACATTTTAATGCATGCATGTGAAAGTGACTTAAAAGTGAAAAAAAAATGAAGACAAAGAGAAATAAATGTAGTTAAAAAAGTTAAGTTAGATTAAGAAGTTAACTCATCCAATGCTTATAATTGTTTTTACTATTCTTATCATAACAATTATTTTCACATCATCTCTCTCTCTCTCTACACACACACACACACACATATACAGACAGATTCAAATAAGAAGGCTAAATATCATTAGAAGGTTCATATGTGAATATGTTGAAAAAATCCAAAAAAAAGTTAATTCTAGATACATATGTTAACGAACATTACAAATTATTCATATAGGTTAATTTCAAATGAATTTTTGTAATAATTCACATATAAATTTCACATTCTTACAATATTTATCCTTATTATTTGAAACTTCAAAATAAAGTAATAGAACTGTAGTTCTATATTAACCAAACATATTGCCAATTTTATATACATAGTTTTATCTATTAAGTAAGCACAATAAACAAGTATAGATAAGGTGACAAAGAAATGCAATATAAAATGACATCTCTCGTTTTTTTCAAAAGTTAAAAGATGTGTTTATTGTTATTATCAATCTTCGCTACAAATTTTCTTTTGGATTCGTATCTAGGTAAAAAGCGTATCAATCTATGATAACCCAACTACTACTCATATATTAAACTTTTCTTACAATCTTACAATATGTTTTAACTTTAAAATCAATTAAAAAAAATAAGATTTAGAGAATATATATATATATATACATTATATTCTCTTAAGTTGCACATCAAAGCAAGACTTGGCAACAAATGTTTATTCATGGTATAATACTTTTCTTTAACCATCAATTATTTTCACGCGTTTTCTCCTCAATTATATTACTTTTAACTTTTCGTGCATACAAACGAATAAATTAATAATGATGTAGGACAAGACTATCCATGTACTTATGAAAGCTTCCCCACATATGTGTTTAGAGAATCTAATCTTGAAGCATCAAAACCATCAAATCTACCTATACACCTTTATATTTGCTTATATAAGTTAAAGGTAAAAAAAAATGCACCTTTATATATAAGTACTCATGCAACCTTCAACATCTCTTTCGTTAGTTTCTCATACCTTATCTTTCGTCATATATATTTTCAAAGCTATATTCAAAAGAAATTTGTTGGGTCCTAAAACGAAAAGAGACATTTGACAACTATAAAAAGGATATAAACGGGAAAATAAAAGGAAAAAGAAAAAGGAAAAGGAAAAAGAAAACATTTTCCCTTAAACACAAGACGAGTCTTAGATGAAACAAGTTGATAGGTGGAGTGGATGGTGAACTAAAAAGAAAGAAGTTTGTAAAGAAAATGAGAAATCAAAAAACCAAACAAAACACGGTATACCCCACACATGACTAGATTATAGAGGTAAGATGTACGTATACTTTGCTCTATCCTCAGAACTAGAGAAGTTTTTTATGTGAATTTCGTATACATATAAAACGATGACACATGCATATAATCAGTGAAGGTAAGTAATTGAGAGTAATGTAAAGGAGATAGATAGAAGGAGTTGCATAGGGATCATGTAAGCAACTCAAATGTTCATATTTCATATAACTTATCTATTTTGTCTATCTGTGTTGGTTTAGAGCATTAAAAAAAGAAAATTTGAAAAAGACGCATCATTGATTCTCCATTAAGAAAAGTAAATCTTGATTCTTTTTTAAAAGTAAATATGCAAGTGGTTGTGTAGGATGATAGTGAAATTCAATATAAAAAGTCCGATAAAACTTCAAAAAAATGATAATTTATATGAAGATGTCTTTTTTGTTGTTGTTAAAGTTATAACAAAATAAATCAACCAAAATACTTATGTTGTACATCTTTTTCTTTATTTTCAAAACTTCGACATCAAACTTCAACCAACAAATAAGTTTTTAATAAAGTGTTTGGAAGTAAAAATCTTCATAGAAACTTAACAAAGTATATATTGAGAAAGAAAACCGATATTTTTATTTTTTTTCAATAGCTTCGATCTCTAATTATGCATTTTACTACCTTTTTGATCTAAATTGTTCACTACCACAAAGGTCATTACTGTGGCAAACATCAACCTTTAAGGGCCGCGATTTTATTTCCAATTCAGTGAAATGAGAAGTAGTCAGGGGCAATGGTGAACTATGTGATTTTCATAGAAGAAGAGGAGGAGAAAGTGACAAGAAAGGGCAAGACAAAAAAGAAGACAACTTGGTCAATTCTCTTTCACCTCTCTCTTGTCTCTCTCTATCTTTCTCCTTCTTCACCTGTATATTGAAGCTTGGAGAATCATTGTGAAAACATCTGAAATTTGAAGAACCGGAGTTTCATTGTATTTACTTTGGTTAGAGTATTTGCAATTTACTTTCAAGTCTTTCTATTACTTTACTACTTTGGCAGCATTTGTGGCCACAGTGACGAACTTTATTTCAATGCAATTTAAGTATTCTTTTATCTACCGCCGTGTCTTCCTTTAAGTATGTGCTAAATTCCTCTTTAGGTGTGGTGTAACCAAACCTAAGAGAGAAAATATAACACTTGGGTATATTACCTTTTCTTGCTAACTTTTTAGTTTGGTCATTCAAGTTGAAGCTTTCATTCAACACGGACAAACTGATTACTTGTATGTGTTAATATTAGAGATTTGACCTAGAGACAGGGACAAATCACTTGTATGTATTACTATTAGATCTTTGACCCAGAGATAGACAAATTCGAAATATGGCTTGAGTGATGCATGAATACTTGAAAAAGTATTTAATAATCACAAAGAGATAAGTGTTATTGCATAACTTTCACTAAGGTTTAGGATGTCGATCGAGTTGGTATGTCATAGAGATATTCGTCTCTCTCCATACTGACGAAACTCAGATTTTCGAGATCTACTTAATAAGGTTGATGAATCGAAAGTTAGCAGTGGCCACTCTGTGATAGGACCGTGGCCAAATTCCAACACGAAGTAGTTTCGAGAGAAAGAAATTGTGAAAGATTATTTTATGACCGGTTCTATCATCCATTTTGTTACCGTAACACAAAAGACTTGCACCAATACCCGATTTTTATTATTTGTTGGAAATCACCAAATCACCGTCACACAATCAATTTTATAAAACCAAATTTTGTACTGAAAGTTCATGAAAATCTTAATTTATTTAAGTAAAACTATTTACAGTGTATATCATTATATACTATCATATGTGTATTTTTTATATCAAAACCGCACACGGAAATCCAGAATTTTCAATGATTATATTTTCTTAATATTATTATGGTTAACAAAATAAATAAATTATTTAAAACAAAATATATTAACATGATATCGGTAAGAAAGGTATATTATGTGGGTGGGATCTGGCAGTGGCCTGCTTACAAGAGCCCTTAACATTTACAATTTCCAATTAACCCTCGTTTTACAGAAACCACATTCTCAATCAATAGGTCCCGTCCCCAACACGTAGAACCTGAAATCAATTCGCATTTCGATTAATGAAACCCTTTGGATCAGCTTGGGCCCCAGCAGTTGAAGTACATGACTTGCCGGAGAGAATCGTCGGACTGTGTCTTCCGGTCGCCGACG